TCCCTGAGCCTCTGGCCTGTACCCCAGTTCTGTATGCACAAATAAATAAAATAAATAAATCTTTAAAAAAAAATTATGTCCAAATCACTAGGGGTGGAGTCCAGTTAGTATTTTTTCAAAGCTATCTGGGTTATCCAATATATGGTCAAGTTTGAGATCCATCACACCAGCCCACAGCCAGTGAAGAGCAGAACCACAAGTCTAGAATTCCAAGTCTTAGGCAGTACTTTCTTTTATCCCAGGGAGAACTAGAGGAAGCTCCTGGATCCCTGGCTATTTGGGGTGTCAACGGCTGGAAGGCAGCGCTGAAAGAGTAGACGCCACAAGAATCATCTTGGAGCCTCCACAAGAGCCTTCTTGTCCCTCCCTGACTCCAGAGCTGATTCCAGGTCCAGATGGCCAAAGCCCAGGGGATAAAGAATGACTCAGACACTTCCTGTTTTCTTGGCCATAGTGACAGGGGGATACAAACAACCCGGATGGTGTTCATGGCTTAAGAGGAGGGTCCTGAAGAGAGAGGAGGCTGGAGCTGTGAGACCCGCCTGCTACAAGATGTAGGTGTTAGGCACCCAACAGAGTGATTTATTAACCTCAGTGAGTAGAGATGAGTGTGGTTTGTTAGATGGCCAGGTCAGCAAAGGAAGAGAGGATTTGGGGCCAGGTTTTCTTGAAGTGTAGGAGTCTTTGGGGTTGAAGGAGAGACCTGCTGTTTCGCCTAGATATTTGGTTCAGGCAAGCTGGGAGCCTGTATGAGTCAGAGAGAACGCTGCACTGGAGGCAAAAGGCCTGGTCATCTGCCCTGCCATGGCTTACCATGTGACCTTGAGTAAGTCCCTGTTCATCACTGAGCTTCTTTTCCTATAAAATGGGGAGGGGATGTGAGATACTGAGCTCTGAAAACTGTTGGGAGTCTCAGAAAAAAGAAAAAAAAACAAAAAAACAAAAAACCTCTCCCAGCTGTACAGAGACTGTATAGACACCAGGGACTTTTCCTTCATTCACATGATTTGGATTTCAAATCAGACAATAATTTTGTGAAGTAAGCATTGAAAATATCATTCTCTGGTCACTACTGGAGACATAGATGATCAGGAGACTGAGAAAGGTACCAACTATGGTTGTGGACACTCACAATGGTCCAACTTGGCCACTCCCTCCCTTGGAAGATAGCAATTTGGGGATCTTTATGAAAAACTACATGTTTTGAATCTTGGACTCAATTATCTCCCTGTTGGTATGACCCTCAGGAAATGACCCTAAATTCATAAAATTCAGAAAAGGTTTATTGGACAGAAAAAGATATTCACTGAATCTTGTATTAATGGAAAGTTAAACACAGCCTAGAATCCAGCAATAGGATAATGTAGACTATAAAATATGTATTAACCACCTATTTCTACAATAACAAATTTGCCTCAACTTAGGAACTTAAACAACAGGACTGTTTTTTCATAGTTTCTATGGGGCAGGAATCTGGCACAGCCTAGCTGGGTGGCCTCTGGCTCAGGGCCTCTAGGGAAGCTACCATCTAGGTGTGGGGCTGGGGCTATACAGTCATCTGGAAGGTTGAATGAGAGAGGATTCTCTTCCAAGTTCACTCACAGGCTGTTGGCAGCCACAGATCCTGTGGCTCTTGAAGGAGACATGAATTCCTCAATTGTGGGCACTTCAAACAGGAAGCTCACAACCTGGCAGCTGGCTTCCCTAAGAGCCAGCAAGCAACCTGGAAGGTATGAAGTCCTTTGGTAGCCTGACCTTGGAGGTGACCTCCCCTCATTTAGCTGAATTCTAGTCATTAGAAGTGAGTCACTAGCTCTAACACAAGTTAAGGAGGAGGTGGAGGACATACCACACTGCATGTGAATACCAAGAAGTGGGAACTAGAAGAGAAGTTTTCCTGGAGTCTCTTAGGGTTCCTGACTGGATCTAAAAAGTAAACTGAGGGCCTCCCTGGTGGTGCAGGGGTTAAAGTCTCAGCACCATTGCCAGCCACAATGGCATGAGTCCTGGTTAGGGGGCTGACCCACTTGGGCAGGCAAGCAGCCCAGCAGACCTCTTCTGTCTTGCCCACTGCTCCCCTCAGCTGTGTACTTTAGTAGATCCACCTGTTCTGCTCCCCACTCTGACTCTGGTGAATCCTCTCACCTGCCTCTGCACCTCTGGTATATAACCCAGTTCTTATATAAATAAAACAAATCTTAAAAAAAAAAAAGTACACTGAAAAAGATTAACAGGACAAAAAACATAAATATTGTTTTATATGTCACAGAGCCTTCAGAAGGAAATGACCAGAAAAAATAAGGAAGCCTGAGTATTTTTGTGGTGAATTTCATGATGAGTGGGCAGTTGTATAGAAATATAACAGATTAGAGAATGATGTAGTGGAAGTAATCTGGGGAAACCTAAGCAAATGCCTGTTTGTAATCTTTCAGTATCCTCTGGAATTGGAGCTACCTTTTCTCCCAGGTATAGGGAAGGCATCTCTCACATGAGAGTTGTGCCATATTTTGGGGCAAATATATCCTAAGTCCCACCAGGACAACAGGAGGCCTTCCTAGAAATCACTACCATATAGTATACTAACAGAAACAATTATGATATTGTAAGACAGGCATCCCCATATGAACAGGTCTTCCCAAGCTGTGTCACTTTGGCATGTGGATTATTTCACATATCAACTGAGGCCCTGCAAGCTTACTCCCTTACTTCCCCAGAAGAATGAAAACTTGTTGGATTATCCAGAATTAGGATTTTTACCAAAAATAAGCCTTTTCTGTCAAGGAAACCTATCTACATGGCAGAGGAACATCTAACCTACAGAGCATCTGGTCTTCATCATGTGAGTCACCCTAAGTCCTAGTTCTTTTTTTTTTTTTTTTTAACATTTATTTATTTTGTAGAACTGGGGTGTAAGCCAGAGATGGGTGGGGGAGGGTTTGAGATGATTCACCAGAGACAGAGTAGGGAGCAGAACAGGCGATCTACTGAAATACACTGCTGTGGGGAGCAGGGGAGTGAGATAGGAAAGGTCTGCTGAGCCATATGGGTCACTTCCCTGGCCAGCGATTGAAATCAGGCTACGGGGGTGATAGTGCTGAGATTTAACCCCTAGGCCACCAGGGAGACCCCCACCTCACTTCTTAGCTCAGAATGAATACCCTCATTTTGTCCCCACTGACTTTAAAGCCTATGGCTATTGGTTCTTCATATAAATGTAACTAAATTTGTTCTTTCCTCCTACCAATCCCTCTGATGTTGATTTGATTGCTTGATCAGTTCAAGAACCCAAAGACATAGGAGAAACTGTCTCTTTGTCCCTACATTCTCAAGTAAACTACAACAGGACTCAAAACTATACCTGTAGGATGATCACACTAAAGGGATAAAAGAGAGGAAGAAATTATTAAAAACACATAAACACAATGAAAAAGCAATGGAATCTAATGATAAAGCACCTTTACAAATTACATGTTTGTGTCTCCATGACGTATTCATTTATGCATTCTATTTTCCCTCAATCATTTATTCTCCAAATTTAAGTAATTTTCTGGCCATGGGTATCAAGGGACTGGGTAGGAAGAAATTCAGGTCCTATCTTCTGAGCGCTAAGAAACTATAAATTTCCACACTGGAACAACCTCAGTTGCAGGTAAATCCTAAATACCCCTAATCTCATTGCATATTCCCACAGTGTTGGCTTTGGGGATGGTCCTGAGAAAGGCAATGTATGGTGTGGATTTGTTGTAGAAAGGGGGAAGAGGAGGGGACAGAGACAGAAAGGGGGGAGTAGCTGGTATGGTAGAAAAACATCCAAAAATTGACTTCAGGCCCCAGGCATGCCAGTCACTTAAGTGCACAATTCAGCATCAGTTTCTTCACCTACAGGATGGGGTGAAAACAAGTTAATAGGGACCTTTCTCATTCAGAGGGTTCATAAGATTATTTGTGAGCAGAAATACACTAACCTCTGGGCCAGTGATAGTTACTTCAGGGATTAACTAGTATAAATATACCTTCCTCCTGCGACCCAAATCCCAGCAGGAGCCAAGCATTTTCACAACCACGGCAGATCTTTCACTGGCCCCTATGTTCTGAGCCTACTTTTCCATTTTCATTCTCTAATTGGTTGAGTTGGTTAAACGCTGATGTTTGATATGCTTCAGTTATAAAGAATGTGGTCCCCGTTAAGGAACATCCCTCAAAATCAAAATCGACTAAGTAATCCTCTTTAGGAGCAGACAGATACGCGGGTGTGGAACTGCACGTGCAGGCATATTCACTGCAGCATTCAGGAGCAAAACAACATTGGGGTGAAAAATGTCCATCCACAGGGCCTGGTTGGCTGCTAGGGAACAGCTGCACATGGAGAACTGTGAAGGCATTAAACTGAAGGAGACCAGGCTGGGTGCACTGACCCAAAGACTTCCAGAAAGACCTACGTTATAAAATGAAAAAAGCACGTTGCTAAGCAATACCGCCTATGATACCTCCACTCAGGTAGAAAAGCAAACTAACCCGCCTATGTGTGTAAAGACCTAATTTATAAGAAAATACAGAGAAAATGCGGGGAGGGCCCTGCCTTGGTCACAGCAGTCCCGTGGGGGAGGACACAAGACGGGGGCACGGAGAAGGGACCTACCCGTATTTGTTCCATGTACTTCAGAAATGGTCACTTTTTTTTTTTAAACACTATTTTCCATCAATCTTATTTCTATTTTCTGTTTAGGCCTGTGGGAGAACTTAAGACCACGCAGGGGTTGCTCCTACCCGTCATGAGACCAGAGCTTGGGAGCAGTAGCCCCGTCTTCTGGGGTCTTCTTGGGGCGGCCGGCTGAGCGCCCCTTCTCAGTAGGGAACTCCCGGAGGGGCGCACCCTCAGGCCCGTCTGCCACCTCGAGAGGAGCTGTAAACTCGGGAGCTGGGTTGCCCCCTCACCCTGAAGCTCCCTTTGGTCACAGCCTTTCCAGCCCCAGCCCGCTTGCCCTTCCCCATCTCCTCAGATCTCCGAAGTGGGACTCAGCCCGCCCTCTCGCGGGTGCTCACGGGAGCTGGCAACGCGCAGGCGCAGAACTTCCTAGCCGCCCCCACTCGAGACCCAGCGTTAGCGACCGCGTGGTCGCAGGGCATGGCAGTGCCCTAGGGTGCCCTGGAGAACCTGACGCATTGTAACGGGGTGGTCCCCAGGAAAAGGGGAAGTTCCAGGTTCCCTGCCCCACCCAGAAGGAGGGTGGAGCTGAGCAGAGAAAAGAGAAGAGAAAGAATCTGAGGAGGAAGGAGGCAGAATGGAGAGCCAGGAGGAGACCTGAGGGAGCCACATGGAGCAAAGGGAGCCATGTGAAGAAATCGTGTTTATTTCTTCGCCCTGGACTGGTTGAAAGGATGTGGGTGAGAGACCCATGGGGAGGTTCACTATGGCAGCGTTTATCTTGATTTTGATGTTGCTCTTTTCCTCTCACATTTGTGTGGCCATTTCTGACCCTTTTCCATGGGTCCCGGCCAGAAGGTGCTTTAGTCTAGTGGCAGCTTTCAGGCCTTGCTTTGGGCCAATCCCTTTTGGGCTGACTTTTGCCCACAAAGGGATGGGTAACTTCAGGTGTTTGATTTAGAAAGTGTATTGTCTTTCATATTGTATACTCACTGTATTAAAGTCCGTTTTCATTAAAGTCTGACATGTTTTGTCTCGATGTGGCAGATGGCAGAACCTATTTAAAGCAGGCAGGTTTGGGGGTTCAGTGGTGTCCCTCTTTCCCTGCCCTGTAACAATTTGAGCAGTGGTAGCTCGTGTTAGTCAGGTTAATAGAAGGCCCCTCCATGAGAGACCAGTAGCCACGGTAGTGGCGGCAGTTAGTGGCTGCCTGGAACTGGCTAGTGAAGGTTCCAGTGGGAACAGCTCCAGGGGCGGCAGCAAAGCAGCACTGCTCGCTGGCCCACGTCCCTGGGCAAACGACAGCCGGGTTTTCAAAGTCACCCTTGGCGCGAACTGCTGGCAGAAGCTTCTCGGAGGTTCCCTTCAGCTGTTTGAAGTAGATGCCATAACTTCTCCTTTTGTAGTTGTACTGTTCCATTTGGAAGTCTAAGTTAGTGCCAATAACTGGGTTCTGCATGGAAGGAATTTGAGGATATCCTCCTCCTTCACTGCAGGACAGCAAGGACTCCAGACATTATGAAAGTTCTCCTTTGAGTACCACGGAAGCACAGAAAAACTGTGCGGACCTCTGTAAGGGTGGCATGGAAAGTGGATACCATTTCAGTGCCTTGAATATATTCACGTATTGCTGTGTAAACTTTTAAACCTAAAATTATGATTCATAGATTAGATTGACAGATTACACAGAATCTTTCATTGTCACTAATTTTGATTCCTACTATTGTGTTATTAAACTCCCGAGATCATCATTCAGTCCTCCTGAACACTTACCTTTCATATGGATTCACATCCTTCTCTGAGACACTCTTTGTGGGAAAAAAAGTCCTCTTCCCAGATAAGTTGCTCTCTGTAGCTCTGAGGCCTGTCAGGCCAGGCCCCCACACTCCACCCCAAGCCTGTTCCCTGCCCAAGGACGATCCCAGGAGTTCATTCTTATCATCAGTGCAGGGTGAAGGTAAAAACCAAAAATCCTTCATTCATTCCTTAAACTAATAGTACTGCCCTGGGCAAAGCCACAGGGATTCAATAGTGGGAAGAAAACAAAGACAAAATTAAGTGTCTAGTGAGGAAATACTCTAATTAACCTCCTAAAAATGAAGTGAGGTCTATGATGGATGTTCTGAAAGAGACAGGAGAATGGACTGAGCAAAGTTAAAGGAGCTTTATCCCCCATTTTCACTAAGACTCTTCCTCTCTGTATCACATACCCTCACCCTTTCTACTGTTCATGAACTGAAGGATTGGTTAGGGTTTTCTGAAGCCAGCCCGGAGACACCCAAAAATAGACATGAAGACACAAGTTAAGAAATAATCAGAGAAATTGTCAGCAGATGAGTTCAGACCAAGGAGTCTTGGCAGGGTCTGATATTGTACTTCCAGATCTGACATTGTGGTCATCATCATCGTCCACAGGTTCCAGCCTCAGACCATATGTTGCCACTATTCAAACTACCATCCCCTCCCCAACATGCATGCCCTGCAAGGGTCCTGGGCACCAAATCCATTGCTGAATAAGATCTTCTCTTTAGAACCATTGGTTTCACTGCCAGTGTTAGCACCTGGACCAAAGAAAAACTTCATCATGTGTGTTCGTACAAAAGTATACAATACATACAGGTTCATCCTCTGTGGATAGTGTCAGTTCATTCCAGATTTACTGGAAAAATCTCACTTTTACATATTAGGTGTCACAAGTCATTGAAATATGTACTTCAATGTATATACTTCAGCAGGATTTAAAAATATCAATAAAATCAAGAAGGGATAGTAAGATAACACACAGCAGTGTATAACTCAAGTCCTGTGCAGGGACAGACCACAAATGTATCTCAGAATTTCCAAACATCCAGAGTCAAGAGGGAAACAAATGACATGGATCTTGAGATCTTGCTTTTGAGACCTGCAAGAATTCCACCCAAAGGAACTCAGAAAGAGGCAGTATGGCTCAGGGTTAAACAGAAACACATTCATTTCAATAATCTTAATTTAGTAACACAAGTAACAGCATCTGTCAAAACTCACTGATAGTGCCCTTAAGATTCATGCATTTCACTGTAGCAAATTTTTTTTTAAAGATTTATTTATGTATTCATACAGAACTGGGGTACAGGCCCGAGGCTCAGGGGCGGCGAGAGGCTTCACCAGAGACAGAGTGGAGGAGTAGAACAGGCCGACTGATGAAGTACAATGCTGAGGGGAGCAGCAGGCAGGTCAGGAGAGGTATGCCGCACCATGTGGGTCACCTCTGGGGCTGGGGATCGAACTCATGCGGAAGTGGCTTTAGCTTCTTAGTGCTGTGCTTTAACACGCTGCACCACCAGGGAGGGCCCTCACTGTAGTAAATTTTACCACAAAAAGAAAAGCACCATAAACAAATATAGTTAATGGTATGCCTACTGAAATGTTTTAGGGGTGACGTGAACTGACATTCTCAATTTATTTTAAAGTGTATCAGAAAAGCAAGAGGAATCGCTGGGTGGAAAGAGAAATAGAGAGCAATATGTGATAAAGTATAACAAAATATAGAATCTCCGTGGTGATGTACTATACAATTCTTTCAACTTTTCGATGTGTTTTGGACATTTTTATAATAAAGGTTTTCGAGGATCTGAGAAATGAAGTAGACTTTGGAAGCCATCAACACCTAGAAGTTCAATGGCCCTGAGTTTTGTTCTTGGATCCACAACTAGCAGCAGCACTCAAATGATCTGCTGACCCCTGACCACCATGCCCTTGAGCAGCAAGTGGGGTTCTGGAGTGCAGAGCTCCCAGAGAGAGAGGGTGAGAGAGAGGGTGGCAAGAAACACCTGCAAAGTCACAGGTGGGTAAAAGACTGCTGCCCTGGGCCCTCTCTGGTGGCGCAGCGGGTTAAAGCACAGCACTAAGAAGCCGGGGAGGTGATCTGTGTGTGGCGCGGCAGACCTCTCCTGGCCCACCCACTGCTCCCCTCTGCAGTGTACTTACACAGTCGACCTGTTCTGCTCCCCACTATGTCTCTGGTGAATCCTCTTGCCGCCCCTGCACTTCTGGCCTGTGTCTCAGTCCTGTATGAATAAATAAATAAATCTTTTTTTTAAAAAAAAAAAAAGGCCCCCCTGACTTCAACAGGGACAGAAGCGTGACTCCGGCAGAGCCCACAGCATGGCAAATATTGGCATCATCTGGCACAGCTGTCAGGCTACCAGGGAGCAACAGGGAGTGGTGGGGAAAGGGGGACCTCTGAGGCCTCAGAGAGCTCGTTAGTGGCCACACTGGATTTCAACCTCCACATTGCAGAGGCGCCAGTGATGTGGATTATTTGTTGGATTCCTCTCTGCCAGGCACAACATTAAGCATTTACATTTGTCATGATTTAACATGTAAATGAGCAGGCTCTCTGTCATTCCCATTTCTACACCAAAAACAACTCAGAAGCTTATAACTTTTGTGTAACACAAAGCAGCAAATACAGAGCTAGGGTTCAAAGTTATATCTGACTCTAGAATCTTGGATCCTATCTACTGCCCTCTTCTGTTCCACAGGCCTGTCGCTGAGGGGAGACTTGTCTCTGCTCTGTCCTGGAAGAAAACTCAGGGAAAAGTGACTTGGGTCCAGTAAGAGCCCTATTCCTACCCCTGTCCTCTCTGCTCCTAGGGTCCCCTATCCCCACCACTCTTGGGGACACACACACACATTCCCTACAACCTCCTGAAAGACTAAACCAGTCCCACTCTCAACCCTGAAAATCTTCCACCACCATCCCAGCATTTTCAGGTACTGTGACTGACTCCCTGCCTACCAAAACCCAAAGCCACCTGTCACCTCTTTAACAGAAATCCAGAGCTAAGGAAGACAACAGCTAGTTGACAGTTTTTACAGAGGAAGAAATAAGGGCCTAGTGGTTGGTCCAATGTCACACAGCATGAGAGGACTGTACCTTGCCCACAGAGCTTGTCCCTTGAGTTCAGAGTTGGGCAGGGCTGAGATGGGCTAGTGACTGGGAGGGGAGAGGAGTGGGTGGATGGGGCTGGAGACCACCCTATACACACACCCATTAGACCTTTATAGCTAGTCCTAAAAAGAGAAGGGCTAGCTCCTAGAACAAGGGGAGAGAACTGCTGACCCTGCAGGCAGGGGCTGGGCAGGGGGAGGGCGGAGGGGTTGCTGCTGAAAGAGCAGTTCTCATTTTATAAACAAGGTGCCTCAGTGCCAGTGGAGGCGTGCCGGTCACTGGATCCCACTGCTGTTACTGGCTACGTGGGGGCAGGACCCATCTATCCTAAATCTCTGGTGTCCTTCCCACCCCTGCCTCGACTTTCTCTGAAGGACCAGGAGACACAGAGTAGACTGGGATGGCCCAGTAAAAGGCACAGTGAGGCTGCATCTCTCCTATGCCCACACCCAACACACTCATGACTAGGACACATGAGTTCTCCCAAGGACCCAAGGCCAGGCCTTTAGCTTTTACCAAATCTCTTTCTAAAAGTCACAGAGCTTGGCCTACATCCTGTGCCTGGCAGGCTGCAGTCCCTTGCAGGGATGGAAGGGAGGAAGTAATACAACCCCCTCCATGTACTTTGTTCTTCAGCCAGAACTTTGCTCTTCAGTTCTGGCCCTCACAAACCCAGATCCTTGCCCAAGGGAGGGATCTGTTGCCCCAGGCACTAGGCAGGACCTAAGCAGCCCCTAGAATATGATTATGTGTGTGTTTGCAGGGATGGGGCTGAGGGTGGTTAGAGGGTCACCCAGCAGTGAAGCCTTCAAGCCAGAGTCAAGCTTGGTGCTGTGGGGAGAGAATGGGAATAACACAGTGGAAATTTTGTCCTACTAACAGACCCCAAGCTGCCTGGCCATGCCAGGCTGACTACCCCTTCCAAAACAAACACAGCCCTTGGCTCTGTGGGCAGAGGCCATTTTTCAGAGATGACATCAACTCTGAATGTTTTATGTTTCCTGCCTGTTTCAGCCAGGAGAGCATAGTCCCCATAGCCCAGGGGTCTGGCGAGGTTGACATCAGCTCCAGGGCAAACAGCACACCAACAGCTTGAGATGCTCACAGCAGGCCCACCCAAAGGAGAGACACTGCCCTGCCTGGCACTGCACGACAGAAGCAAGAGGAAAGAAGCTACAGGCTCCCTGGTTCCCAAACACCCTGAGCCTTTGCTCAGTTTGTTCTGTTCCTACGCTTCCCTGCAGTACACCATCTAGGAAACAACTTGTATCTTTCAAATACCATGGCTGCCATTGTCTCCCCTGTTAAGCTAAGCTGAAAGTGGGCTGTGCACCCTCCCTTTAAAGTCTGATGCTCCTTTCAAGGAATCCAAATAGGGAAAGAAGAAGTAAAACTATCCTTATTTGCAGATGATATGTTAATTTATATGGAAAACCCTAAAAGCTCCACAAAGGAACTAATCAAAACCATCCAC